GATAGAGGTAAGGGGTTGCAGTGCTTGTGAATGTGTCAGTATGAAGTCCCCAAGGGTGGAGCTGGGTAGAGTGCAGGAGTGGAGATGAAGTGGGACTTGGGTTCTGGAGGGCACTGGACCTACTTTAGGATTTTACCTCAATGGACCAACCCTGCCCCTGCATTTTGGAATCTCACTGGGCTCCCTTCACCCTGACCCCAGCAGCAAACCCCTTCTGTTGCCTTCATCTCAAGCCTTTAGGCATAACCCTGAGCTGAGAAAACCTCAACATCCTTTTGTCGGCTGGGGGAAGTTACACTGCTCTGAGGCTCCCCCTGCACCCTCCACCCTGGAGGTCAGTCTCGCCCCTCCATCAGCCTCCAGGTCAGAGGAAGCTCTGGAGGCTATAGCTCTGGCTCTGGGCTCAGTCACCAGAGAGGGACTGCCTGCTGGGCCAGATGCTCTCCCTGACCGTCCTCCATGCTAGTTGCCACTGCTGGAGGGGGCAGTGTTGCTGCTGGCCTGTGCCCTTCCTCTGCAGAGCTACTGCCTCACCACATTTATTCTTAACCACCGGAAGAGGGGCCTGGAAACTGCTGAGCAGTAGCAGAGGCGGCAGCTCCTGGGCCTCCTCTGACCAGGCAATATGCCCTCTGAGCCCCCAGCACTCACTGTCCGGGCTCCTCGGTCCCTCACTAAGCACATGAGAATTGTGTTGAAGTTGTCTTTCCATGCTGGCATTTCTTGCCTCTCCATTTGTTGTGCACAACCCTCTGGGACAGAGCCTGAGACCTTTTGATATCAGTCACAATACCCAGTACCTAGTACCTTGCTCTCTATCTGTCCCACCACCTCAGCCTGGCCCCAGGCCCTCCCAGCCCTGCCTCGCTCCCGCCATCCTCCTCCCGCCCCCACTGGACTGTAGTGGCTGCAGGACAAAGTCTCTGATCTCAGGTGGGCCCTCAGTGTCCTGGGAACTCTCGTGTCGGATCCACAGCTTCTCCCATTTTCCCCAAGAGGTGACTCCAGATCTTCAGTGCCTTTGCTGATCCTGCTCCACCATCACCGCCTCCACCAGCCTGTGCCCTCTGGGTCCAAGAAGGGCTCCGCCCACCCCACCACCAAAATTCCCCAATGTCAGGGCACCAGTGAGGGGCTCCCCAGTGTCAGCCACCTCACCTCTCCCATAAATGACCACACTGGCCTCTGCTCTGAGCTCGGTGCTGGCCCTTCCATGGCTGGCCCCTCCTTGGGCTCGAGCATCACTGCTTCACCAGGAGCTGGCCAGGGCCTGCTCAGCCCTGATCACATCTCTGATCTTCCTCCAGCTGCTTCTTTCTGCCAGCTTCCTACTCTTTCTTCAGTCTCCCCACCCAATTAAAAAAACTATTGGAAAACCACTGCTTTTCCTCCTGTGTCTTTCTTCCCTGTGTCTCCTTAGCTACCCCAGCAGGCTGTCTCCAGCTTCTCTACACATCAGCCTCAGCCTCATCCATGCAAGATTCTACGAGAACCAGCAGGACTTGCATGGCCTCAGACCGAGGCTTGCAGCAGGCACAGTGTGATATCTGCTGCATGTTATTGAAAAGGCGCAATTTCAGGAGGAGCTGTTAAGTAACACTGCAAGGGGAGTGACCATTTTTGCATTGTCACACTAGTTCTCTGCTGAAATTCTCAAACTTATACTTTATTTCTTGAACATAATAATTACCTTAAAGTTTACTATTAATACTTTTATTATCAAGATGCCCCTTGGGTCTGTTTCTGTGGCTGCTTTCTTTTGATTTTTTGGATGTGTTTCCTCTTGTTAGGCCTGTTTATTTTTTGTTTCATTTTGGGCATTATATATGAAACATTGTAGAAATAATTTAATGCTCTAGTTGATGTTATTTCCCTCCAGGAATGATTTATATTTGCCTCGAGTCGGAACCCAGGTTGGAAACACTAGAGGCCCTATAGCACTGTAGTCCAAGTCAGGGTGGACATGACTCAATTGGATTTGAGTCCTGGCTGGTTTGGATTAGTGGTTAGAGCGTCGGCCCGAGGACTGAAGCATCTCAGGTTCGATTCTAATCGAGGGCATGTACCTCAGTTACAGGCTGGATTCCGATCCCCGGCCCTGGTTGAGGCGAGTGTGGGAGGCAACTATTTGATGTTTCTCTCTCTCCCTTCCACTCTCTTTGAAAAGCAATGAGCCCGGCCGGGTGTGGCTCAGCTGTTGAGCATTGACCTAGGATCCAGGAGATCAGGGTTCAATTCCTGGTCAGGGCACATGCCCAGATTGTGGGCTCCTTGATCCCCAGCAGGGGGTGTGCAGGAGGCAGTGGATCAAAGGCTCTCATCATTGATGTTTCTATCTCTCTCCCTCTCCCTTCCTCTCTCTGAAATCAATAAAGATTTTTTTTTTTAAAAAAGAAAAGCAATGAAAAAAGTATCTTTGGGTGAGGATTAAAAAAAGGAAAGGGAGATATGATAACCTCGTACCTTGATTTAAAAAAAAAATTGGGTTTGAGTTTCTGTAAGAGCTGGTCAATTTCTTGTTCACTCTTTTAAAAAAAATGTATTGATTGATTTTTGGAGAGACAGAGAGGAAGGGAAAGAGAAAAACCAACGGGTTGCTCCGCTGACTGATGCATCGTTGGTTGGTTCTTGTATGTGCCCTGACTAGGGATCAAACCCACGATCTTGGTGTGTCAGGACGACGTTCTGACATGCTGAGCCACCCGGCTAGGGCTCTTGCTTGTTCCTAATTCTTAGTGTGTAGCCATTCATGGCACCAGCCCCAAGTCTGACGGATGTAGGCACAGTCCCTTCCTAACGTGAGGCCCCTGCTCTGTTGGTTCCTCCAGTTGGTTGTAAGCTCTGCTCTGCTGCTCAGCCTTTCAGCTGCTTTTTATGGAATCGGAAGATGCCTCCAGGGAACAGCAATAAGAACACTGGTCTCACATGTCTGAGTTTCCTTCTTTCAGATCCTGGCCCTTAACCTGTCACCGTTTTATTTAGCTCTCTGATGCCTTTAACAACATGCTTTTATATTTTGCCCATTTTTTCTTAGTTATTCTTCATGGGAGCATTGGTTAGCATGTCTTTACCTGGTCTCCCATTATCAGAATTAAAATTCCTTAGGTGATTACTTTTCTCAGCCAATAGTGAGAGCTGTAGAATATAAGTATGGTCTGTTTCCAGACCACAGATTCTTGGGAGTCAGGGCCATGCCTCATGCATGAAGAGTTCACAGTGGGGTTGCAGTCTAGACTGGGTAACTGATATCCTTTTTGTAGGTTTATTAATTATTTTTCCATTCCCCTGTGTACTCGGGATTTTTGTGCAGTTGGCCTGTTCTCATGTGTATTCCGAAGACCACAGAGATGCATGGCACAGTCTCTGCTCTCGGTGGCCACAGGCAGATCCTCTTCGAGTCATGTGTTTCAATCTCAGGGTGTCATGATCAAAGGACATGTTATATCAAACAAATAATAATTACAGGTCCTTTAATTATTTGCTCAGTGTCTTGCAGGAATGTTGGGGTGAAGGCATGGCTGAGCGTGAGTGCACTTACAATGCATGTGAACATGTAAAAATCCCCCTCCATCACTCTTGTCTCAATATCGTCATCTTAATAGATCTGTTTGTATTAATATCCCATCTCCTAATCTCTCCTCCAAATTCTCCTTGACTGCCCCCTCAGCCCATTCAGACAGACTTGTTTATTTCCTGCCTCCATGGGCAATACGATGTAGCTTTCTTGCCAAAAATGGCCACAGGAACAACTCTTTCCTCCACTGGTTGCTGGCTGCTCTGTGGGGCAGTGACAAGGAACCTGCATCACACCTTCAAGCCCAGCAGTTCCCACCTCGATCTACTGTCAGGGAGGTGCTGGGATGTGCCTGGGCAGTGTATTTTTCTTCTTCCCTTTCTGTTTTTTTTCTACGGAGCAATACTTGTGGAGACCTTCCAGTGACTGAAAAACTGGCACACATTAATGAGGAATGAGCACAGTTTGCTGTGCCAAGCTCTCCCGGGCAGTTAGGAGTCCAGCTCTATGGGAAAGCAGAGGAGGGAGCCATTGAGTTCAGCGTGGAGTGTTCATCTTACTGGGTCTGACCATTCAGAACTTGTAGTGGTCACCGCTGGCCACCAGTGGTCACCCCAGTGCTGCAGGGAGGATAGGATGTGTATTTAGAGCACTGTAGTTAAGAATTCACCCTCTCAAGCCACATTGACTGGGTTGCAAGCTCATCTTTCTCACTGTGTAACTTGGGGTTACTTTTAAGTTCTTTCTAAATCTGTTTCCTCACCTGTAAGATGGGGATAAGAATCTTGTTGGGGCCCTGGCCGGTGTGGCTCAGTGGTTAGAGTGTCGGCTTGCACACCAGTGGTTCGAGGGTTCAATTCCTGGTCAAGAGCACATGCCTGGCTTGCAGGTTCAATCTCGCCCTGGTCAGGGCGCGTGCTGGAGGCAACCGATGGATGTGTCTCTCCTATATCGATGTCCAGCTCCTCCCTCCCTCCCTAAAAATAAAAAAAGCATCTTGTAGCGTCACTGTGAAGGGAAATCACTGCCATGTAAAAAGTCCTTGGCAGCTTGCTCATGGACTCTAGCTCCCCCCTGTATAGTATGTATGGGTCCGGAGCATACACAACAGGCTATGGGAAACCCCTCAATATCACATTTCACAAAAAGGTTTGTACTTTTCACATAGCTTGTTGCCCTGTAAAAGGGTTAACAGCACAATTGTTTAAAAAATAAATTAAGAAGTATTTATAGGATCAAAGAAAAAAAGACATGTAAAGAGTTTACAACCTACCTGTGCCATGGTAAGACTCAAGAGATGTTAGCTCTCATTATGGGCTTGTGGGCTCCTTCAGGGCTCAGGGAAGAAGGGGCGCCAATAAAGGGTGTGTACTCTGAGGCTCTCCTGTGTGCCGCCTCCTCTCGGCTCAGGGAAGTCACATCGACTGCCCGCATGCTGAGGTCTGACACCCTTCCTGTCCCTGCAGCTGGTTTCTCTTTCCAAGAATCCTCCAATTCTGCTCAACCTGTGGAAATATCCCTGGGAACATCTTATTTGTTACACCCCCGCAACTCAGAGACATGGGTGACCTCTGCCGAATGGAAGGTACAGCTGCGTTCAATGGCACAAGATTGTCTGATACTCACTTGGAAGAATGAATCTGGTTTGCATGATGTAAAATGGAATTCTGGTGATCAATTCAGCAAGAGATTCAATTTTACGATCAAGGACCTAAGTCTTCTCATCAAGGCAGCTCAGCATCAGGACAGCGGTATCTACTCTCTGGAGGTCACCAATGATTCGGGGAGGACTACAACACACTATTTCAATGTTTCTGTAACTGGTGAGTGCCCGGGACAGCTCTCTCTGCCCCCAGCTCCTGCAGGACTTGTGTTTGCAGTGCCTTCCTGATCCAAATCTCTGCTTCCAGACCCTGATGGGAACTCCGGGATGAAAGAGGAGTCGGGGGCCCTGGATGGAGGTAAGTGCCAAGTGATTCTGTCCTGCTCAGTCTCCAGATGTGGTGATGTGTGGTACAACGGGAGTGAGCAGATCCTGATGCAGAGGAACCTCTCCGACTGGAGGATCAGATTGATGTCAACGTCAACGCCTCCCACATGTACACTTGCAATGTCAGCAACCCTGTCAGCTGGGCACACCAGACCCTAAAGCTCAGCCAGAGCTACCTGAGTGCCCACTTGAGTAAGTGCAGCGCTCTGGGCTAGAGCAGGGGCTGAGGGTGCTGGACCCATCACCAGGCTCATGAGCAGATGAGACTTGGGGATGACACCCCTTGGCTTGTAGCCCTTCACCGGGGGCTTCTGGCCTCTAAGCAGATGTCCTGTACAGCCAGGCCTGAGTCTGGGAAGAATTTTGCCCCCATCAAGAACATTTTTCTGGGAGATGGGCACCTTCCCTTCACATAGGAAATGCTTAGTTGTTTGGTGAGTGACAGCCTGGCCCTGGCTGTGGGTTGTTTTCTTCTTCTGAAAGTGACAGAGACCTGTTCCTCCTCTTGAGTGACACTTTCCCAAGCATGTAGTTCCCCAAGAGATAACTTCGCCCTACAGCCGTGACAGCATCAGAATAGTCACAGGGGCACTGGGCAGAGGTCTTGGCTTATTGTTTGTGCTTATCCTGAGAGTTACCCAGAGCTAACTTTGCACCACTTTTTATTAGATAAATAAGGCTTAATGTGGCATCAACATGGGCAAAAACAACCCACAGTCCTAAGCTTTAAGGAACTTTTAGCCAAATAGGGACAACAAAGTAAGTGCTCACAGGCAAAGAAGAACTGAGCAAGCTGAAGCAACGTGGAGACAAGGACACTCTTCTGGGTCACGTCATCCACGGCTGCTGCACCCTTCACAAGCTCTGTGATCTTAGGCAGAAGCGTCAGCCTCTTGGAGCCTCGGATTTTCTCGGGCAAAATGGGAAACACCTAACAGAGTTACTATTAAGATTAAATAAGATAATATTTGTAAAGAGCCTACTCAGCCAGCATCTGGAACACTTAATTCCTTTCCCTTCCCCCTCGTTAACTGTATTACATACACACCAGGCTACATATGTGACAGATGCTAAGGCAGATGTCCACATGAGGAAGAGCAGTGGAGGCTGGAGGCAAAACTGAAGACTCACTCTGCCCACCAGCAGACAGGCTACAAGAGTTTGTTGGTTTAAAAACAAAGGAATGGATTGATGTAACATTTACTGTGCTTTGCATCTGTTGGATCATGTGATTAACCTTCATTAGTAGATAACCTTATCTGCAGAGAGGTTAAGGAACTTGCCTCACGGCACAGAGGTTCTAGAATTAGAATCTGAACCAAGCCTGTCTAATTCTCATGCTCATAGTGTCACTCAGGGGAGGTCATCCAGCTGAGCAGGGAGACAACCTTGTGAATTCACAGGGTGTGAGAGCAGCCTGCAGCAGGCTGGTCGGAAGGGAGAGGAGGTGGAGTCCTCACGCCTGTGCCTTCCTGTCCCTCAGGATTCGGCCTCCTGCCCCTTTTGATGACCATCATGGTTCTCATAACCACACTGTTTTTCGGCACCCTCGTCTGGTTCTGTGTGTGGAGAAGGAAGAGGAAGCCGCCAGGTAAGTAGAGGTCCCGAGTTGTGCTGCCTGACTTGCCATCCCTGGCTGTGGTGCTGGGGACATGTGCATGTGGTCGGGGAGGGAAAACAATGGTTGCTGGGCCTTTGCTCCTAGATCTCACCTCCTGCGGGGGGGCCCCAGATGTGCACAGTCTGATCCCCAACATGCAGCTTTACTGGCAGTGGCTCGTTTGGGAGAGACTGTCGGGTGGGTTGCTGCCCTGAGCTCTTTGGGTGTCCTGGGAAGAGCACTAACCTGCTTCCTCTCTAGAACCTTTCTCAAGGTCTCGGCCATCTGGGGTGAGGGTGGGATTGCAGGAGCCGGAGCCTGGATAGGATGCTTCCTGGAGGACTGTGCAGCTCTGTTCTTTGCTTTTCCTCACACAGAGCCCAGCCCAGAGGAATTTCTGACAGTTTACGAAGATGTCAACAACCTGCCAATTAGGAGCAATCAAGTATGGCGCCCTGTGGGCTGGGGTTTCTCTCAACCAGTCTGGAAAACACTCTTAGGACGATGGCTATTCTGAGCAGGGGGACGAGGAGAACCCAGTTGCCCTCTTAAAGTGATCCTTGACCCTTCCATCTCTCTCCCTCTCCCTCAGCGTCCTAGCTCTGGCCATGGACAGAAAGAGAAAACAGGGAGTGCGAAGATGAAATGAGCCTGAAGGGCATCTGGGTGCAGAATCGCACCTACTGAAAAGGGTTGGGACCCCAGGGCAGGTGCTGCCTCTGCTCCCCTGGTGCCCTTGTTTCCAGAGGCTGCTCTAAGGTGCACCTTCCTGTATTTTGTGTCTGACCACAAATGCTTGCATCCCCGTAAGTCCGTTTCCTGCTGTGGTTCCCTTCATCATTGCCCCCTGGGGAGGATGTCAGCCGACCAGGCTGAGCGCTGCAGTCCTGCAGCTGCCTCAGTGGTCTGTGTTCAAACTGCTTTTGGAGGAAGAAGCCTGATCTGGAGAGAGTGAGACTGCACCAAGGCAATGTGCCGGGGCCAGTGTCTGCAGGCAGGGCCAACTCTCTGCAACTCAGAGGTGAAGAGAGGAGGGCACCGCAGAGGGGCTGCAAGGCAAGATGTGAGGACAGGCCCAGGGTATGGGCAGTGACTCCCTGAACTGCCCATTGGGAAGGGAGGACAGGAAGGACCCTCTTCCCACCACCATTCCTGGTGCTTGGCCTGGGGCATCTAGGCAGGAATCACATGTGTGGGGTCTCGTGGAACAGCCAAGAGAGATGCAGCCTCCCTCAGGCTCCTCGGGGACTGGGGTCAGAGGAGCTCCTCCAGCCTGTCCACGTCCTAGCAGTGGAATATTGGGCGTCTGTGCCTCTCCCATCAGAACCAAACCCTGGTACAAATCACAGCAAGTACAAATACCTACAGCCACTGATGCTCAAAGACTTGCTAAAAATAACCTCCACCCAGTGAAGGTCACTTTAGATTAGGGAAACGAAGGAGACTATTGGAGGAAATAATTACTTAAGATTAAAAAAATAACCTATTGGGGATTCAGGCCCATTACTCTGTTTCTGACCCAGGGGCTCATCCCCTCGTGGTCTCGTCCCTCCCAGGCCTCTCCCTGCTGTCTCCAAGATTCTCTCCAGAGGCTTCAACCTCAAGCTTCATGTGATCTCACTTGAGCCCTAGCTGGACCTTCCTGGAGACACTTCCTGAAGGTCTGGGAAGAAGAGAAAAACAAGAGTCCTGGTTTCTGTCCTGGTTTTTGCCAGATGCTTGTGACTCTCCAGCCTCAGAGGAAAGCTGGTGTTTCTCTGCTCCTCTTGGGTCCTCTGGTGTGCACTGAACCCCCCCAGAGCCCATCCTGGTGATATACCCTCATGGGGGTGGGGGCGGAGAGCATGAAATACCTCCAACCCCATCTGTGGGGGCAGGATTGAGAGAGGGAAATGCTGCCTCTGTCCTTGGGTCCAGGGCTTCACCCAGCACTGCATCTGCCCAGGAGGCTGGCTGGAGGCCAAGGGCAAGCTGACCACCAAGGCTAGCTCTACGTTGGAGGCTTGAAAACATCTAAAGCCACTGAGTCAGTGTCCCAAGGAAAGGCTCAGACCTAGCTCTATGCAGAGCTCAGGGCCGTTATCTGTGGAAACTTAGTCAAGGAGTCAGCAAAGGGAAATTTCCCAGTTACCAAAGTAGAGCAGATGACAGGAACCCCTTGGGTCCCTTCCCACCACGGCAGTGCCTCAGTCCCAACAGGAACTGCTGCTCCAGAATTGCTCTTTCTCTGTCTCCCCTGTCCTGGGTGACTGATGACTGTTCCCTCCCAGGCTCCCGGGAGGGAGTTCCTCTTCTTTTTGCTCTTTCCCTACTTGACCCAAATCTGCAGGACTGAGTCTTCTGCTAATATTACCACATGTCTTTTACTATTTCTCCTGCAGGAGCACAAGCAGGAGCAGAATTCCCCTGGGAAAGGGAACACTGTCTACTCCGTGATCTTGCCCCAGGTACCATTCTGGCTTCTCTCTTCCAGTCCACACCTGTCTATGCAGCTTTCTCATCGCCCCCGCTCCCCCAAAAAACTCACACCCTTGAATGGCAGAGTAAGATCTTGGTGCTCCCGCAGGGGCAGGTGGCTTGGCACCAGCTGCATGAAGTTGGTTGACAAGCTCTGAGTGGTCTGGGGTCTCCACAGCTGACAGAGCCTCAAGTCCAAGGCAGAATGTGCCCTTCCGTGCTGGCCAGAGGTGTGGCCCAGATGCAGTTGCAGGAGGAGGAACCTGATGGGAACTTGGCTTCTGTTGGTTTTTTCTCCCTGCTGCTTCCAAGACTTGGGGAGCTTGCCCTTTTATCTCCACTTCTTGTACCCGTTTTCTGGAAAGACCAGTTCTGTGTTGTTCTCTTTCATGTTATTATGACTTAACAACAACATTTATGAAGTGCTCATTATGTCCATTTTTTCAAACAAATCTTCCATAACAGCCTCATAATGTAGATCTAATACAAACCTCATTTTGCAGTTGAGGAAACAGACTCAGGGGTAAACTAATATGCTCGAGGCCACGTAGCTGGGTAGTGGCAAAGCTGAGCCAAATGGTTTCTGCATCTCCACCCCGCGGTGTCTGTAACATTCTGGAATTATAGAAATTTACCCATAAACTGGGGAAGCCCTTTAATATGGGCAGCCAAGATGACGTTGACATAACCCAGGCTGTGCATCTCTAGGGAAACACTGCCTCCTGGTGGCTGATGATGAGAAAGTTCTGATAAAGATTCCCTTTTTTTTTGGTTTTGTTTTGTTAAAGAACTTTGACCTGAAGCAGCAACCTCTTCAGTTTGGTGGCCTAGCCGCAGGACAAAGAAAATCCTTGGGGATAGGCTTCAGAGAAAGATCCAGAACTGGAGGGAGAGGAGGAAGGGAAGGGGCAGAGAGGAGAGAAAGGGCAGAGAAGGGGAGCAAAGGGGAGGGGGGTGTTCAGCCATTCAGAGCCCCTTTGGAATTCCCAAGAAGGGTGTTGCCTCCTCCCACTCCCCTTAAGAAAATGGGACTCATTGAGTCAAGTCAAAGAGCCTTAAAGAGTACAAACCTGTAAGAATTTTTCTGAGTTTATTTGTGCCAAACTGATGACAATTGTTGGGAATCAAAATCTTCACCTATTGAGAAAATGCTCTGGAGAAGGGCAGTTTTGCACCTTATTTTATACATTAGATTCAAAAGAGAAGAGATAAGAGGGTTCCATGAAATCTACAGGTGATAGATTAGGGAGGCGGGAGAAAGCAAAGTGGGGAAACCTCTGGCATTGGATAGAGAGTAAAATGATAGACACACTTCTTATACATTTGTAGGAGCCTGATAGTTAACAGTCAGCAGTTAACACGATAAATGGTAACAATGAGGGGCTCTGTGGTCTTTTGCTCCGGTGGGAGATTGTGCCCTGAGGGGTCTGGGAAAGGAGATTATTCTGACATTTCAAACTTGTTACTGTAGATGCAAAAAGACAATAGACAGGCTCAGTTAAGGTAAAGATTGACCTTTGTCAAGGAAGATACAGGCCTAGGTCATTACTACCCACCATGACTGGCTTTTAGTTAAAAAGTTAATTTCAGCCCGGCCGGGCTTGGCTCAGCAGTTGAGCGTCGACCTAGGACCCAGGCGATCGGGGTTCGATTCCCAGTCAGGGCACATGCCCGGGTTGTGGGCTGCAGCCGATCAATGACTCCTAAATCATTGATGTTTCTATCTCCCTCTCTCCCTCTCCTTTCCTCTCTCTGAAATCAATAAAGATATATTTAAAAATAATAAAAATAAAAAGTTTTAATTTCAGACCTTCCTGTGGGGTTACTTTAGGTCTCTGAGTTTGCAGGGCTGCCACGCAGGCCTCCCCTGACATGTCAGGTTTAGAATGTGGCCCCTTTTTTGTCCACAGATATAACAGCGATTGATTCTGCCAGTTGCCCATCTTTAGCCACATTGCATTTCAAGAAGAGAAATTTGAGATGTTGAGGGAGAGTGAGGTTTCTGCTCTGGAGCATTGCAGAAGGAGGATGGTTACCTGCGTTCGAGAATGCTTGTTTTAGATCCAGAGAAGGAAAGCATGTCACCAAAAGGAGGCTTTGAGATGCTGAGGAAAGGGCCCTGGGGAGTCTGGGCTTAGATCCTGCTTCTCCTATGAACACCATGACTTGGGCTACTCACCTTTTTGGAGCCTCATCTATAGAATGAGGCAAATTATAGTCATTTCTAATGTGTAGGAGTATTAAAAGGATTAGGGGAGCCTGGCTGGCGTGGCTCAGCAGTTGAGCATTGACCTAGGATCCAGGAGATCGCAGCTTGATTCCCGGTCAGCCACATACCCGGGTTTTGGGCTCGATCCCTGGTGTGGGGTGTGCGGGAGGCAGCCAATCAATAACTCGTCATTGATGTTGCTCTCTCCCTCTCCCTTCCTCTCTCTGAAATCAATAAAAACATATTAAAAAAAAAATTAGAGGATAATACAGGTACAGAGTGTGTGCTCAGGAAGTAGCAACTGTCTTTAAGAGAGAGGAACTTGTATTCAGGTTGTCCTACCTTGACTAGTCCATGGCTCTTTTTACTAACACTTAAAGCTTCTCTCTGGGCCGAATTGAAGGGGAGGATGGAAGCAATAACTCCTTCCCTAGAGCTGTGCTAGATCTATGCTTCTGAAATGATTTTATTTCTCTCATCAGTCCTCTGCTTCCACATCACGAGAAACTGCAACTACGTTGTATTCAGTGGTGCTGCCCTCCCGGAAGGTGAGTCTCCTCCTCCTGGGTGCTACTGAAGCAAGTGTTTGTTTGCAGGTACAGTGCAGGTATGTGTTTGCAGAGTGCAGCACTTCTTCCACTGTGTGTACTCGAGCAGCTCATGTTAAATGACTATTTAAATGTGTGTTTTTTAAAAAATTTATCTTTATTGTTGAAAGTATTACAGATATCCCCCATTTTTCCCCCATTGATCCCCTCCATCCTCATCTGCCCCCCAGGCCTTCCCCACACTATTTTCCATGTCCATGGGTTGTGCATATATGCATATAAGTTCTTCGATGAATCTCTCCCCACCCACTCCCCCACCCCGCCTTCCCACTGAGATCCCTCAGTCTGTTCCATGCTTCTATGTCTCTGGATCTATTTTGTTCCTCAGTCTATTTTGTTTATTAGCTACCACATATGAGTGAGACCATGTAAAATTGAATCAGAAGAATCAGAAAACCTGAATAGACCAGTAACAACTGATGAAATCAAAGCAGAAATAAAAAATCTCCCAGCAAACAAAAGCCCTGGTCCAGATGGCTTCACAGGGGAGTTTTCTAATTCTTTCAGTTGTAGGGTTAGATAGTTTACTAAAAATGTTTCTTGCTTTTTGAGGTGGCCTGTGGTGTTATGAACTTCCCTCTCAGGGCTGCTTTCCCTGTGTCCCATAGATTTTGGGTTGTTGTATGTTCATTTTCTTTTGTTTCCAGGAAGTTTTGATTTCTTTCTTGAGCTTATTGGTAACCCATTCATTGTTTAATAACATGCTGTTTAGCCTCCACGTGTTCGAATGTTTTTGAGTGTTTGTACTGTAGTTAATTTCTAATTCCATGCCCTTGTGATCTGAGATGCTTGATATGATTTCAATCTTCTTGAACTTGTAGAGACTTGTTTTTGTGTCCTAACATGTGGTCTATCTTTGAGAATGACCCATGTGCACTTGAGAGGAATGTATATTCTGCAGCTGTGGGGTGAAATGTTCTGTAAATATCAATTAAATCCATGCGGTCTAGTGTGCCATTTAGAGTCACTGTTTTTGTGTTAACTTTTTGTCTGGAAAATCTATCCAGTGAAGTCAGTGGAGTGTTAAAGTCCCTGACTATGACTGTATTGCTATTGATTTCTCCTTTAAATTCCTTAAGGTTATTATTGATAGGTCCTTATTTATTGCCATTTTAATTCCCATTTTCCCCCCTCAATTGTCCCCCTCCACTTCGCTCTCACCCCCTCCCAGGTCTTCATCCCATTATTGACTATGTCCATGGGTTATGCATATATGCATATAACTTC